GTCCCCTTTTTGTGGTCAACATGTGATATATCACCTATATAACCTACTCACATTGGTAAATTGTATACAATATAAGGAAATTTGAGAATTTGGTAGAAAAACATAAAAATCAATATTCTCAGTTCTGTTTTCATGACAACTATTTTATAAACATGGATGGCACCAGTACATGTATGCTACCAAACTCTAAACTTTCAGCCAATTTTAAGTTAAACTTTTGAAGTTATAGATGAAATCATTTTCTCAATTTCTGACAACAGAGTCTATGATGTCATACTTTACCCATACTCCTTTGCGTGAAAATCAAGATGGCTGACTACATAATACTGATGAAAAGTTGAATATCTAGAGAATGAAAAGTGATATAAAAAAACTGTAAATTGCATTCTCCTACATTTGTAGAGCTTCTTTTTCAGGGGTCACTATGTTGTTTGGGTTGATGTTTCCTTTAATGTAACACCCAATCCCCTCTAAACTTTTTGTTTCGCATTTTAAGATAAGAAATTGAAATTTGAACCGACAAGGTGTCGATTATACTAGGTGCCATGTTTCACAAGTTGTTTATTTATATACGTATAGCGGATGATTTTTTTTTTTTAAATTAGTATTTATTGATTTTCAGCCCCCAAGTGACTGTGATTGTGGGGTTAGAGTTAGGGTAAGCAGTGGGGACCAATGGAAAGTCTTTTCAAAGCAACTGATAATAATTATCATTCTGTCTTTACGTTTTTTTTTGTTTTTTGTTTTTTTTGTATTCAGTCGTTACAATATCCCTTTGGTGGATAAATCGTAATAAAGGTTACGTCAGTTCTATTTTTGATAAATTAATAAACTGCTTGACTGAACTCACTCGCCGGGCATGTCCTGCTATATGAATACATTACATACCTGAATATATCGTCAATTTTTTGCAGTGTTTCCATATTACGTTGTTGCTGCTTGTCGACAGAATGTTGTTTATATTGCTGTTCTCTGATCACGATCTCAACGTCAGCTGCCGGAGTCTGTCGAACACTTTGGATTCTCGAAAAGATCACAATAAACATGGCTAAACACGAAAACGTGAGAATTATAAAGTACGATTTTATAACCTTGCCTGTTTTAGACATATTGGACGACCAACTTTCATTCAACGTTTCCAAAATTCCAGGAGAAGATCATAGCACTTGTTTTTAAAATCGACCGCTCACTGCATGACAGCTGACCCTCTAACTGGGCATATTGTTTCAGTATGGCTGTTGTACTTTCTTTGCTCAAACAATATAAACAACAGTATCATTGGATTAATAATGTTTAAAATAATGAACCAATTGCATTTTAACTTGTTTCTGGCTTTAACAATGTATAAACAACAATTATAGCAAGGATTTATAAATCAGAACATGATCTGGTCACATGACCTGAGACTTTCTTAGTTGGGACACGTGCGAAGATCATGATGGTCAGTGAATCGTGGAGAATCAGTGAGCTGACTGATCAGCTCATTACATTTTTAGATATTTCAGATAAAATCGGGACTACAATCAGTAAATATGACAGATCAAGTTAGAATGTGAAAATATATTTTGACGTGAAATGTGATGACGAAGAAGACAAAGATGAAACTAGGCGATGATGTTAATTTCACGTAGTCATCTGTAATCACCCAATCATGTCTAAGATAGGACTTAGAGCGTGTCCACGTCTATCCCGTACACGGATTTTAGTTATTTTATGCATCTTTCCTTTAGTAACGTTTTTTCTCTCAGCGATCGTGCCTTTCAGGACAGCGGGGTCATTTTCTCGGCGGCGAGATAGCGGAATACTGAATACAGACGATCACAGACGACTTCTAGCAAACGCAATCATCCACAATTCGTCGGCGATTGTCTCCGCTTCTAACATTACTTTCGCGTTACCATCTCCCGCGAGAAGGAATCAACTTAAAGGTGTAATGTAAGTATATTCGATTAACGATTTGATACCACGTACTGACAACGAGTTGTAATCTAGATCGTGGTTGATGCTAGACGAATGCACGAATGCAAGATGAAGTCTACAAAAGTTCATTCACCCTTACGAAATACCGACGCGTTTGGGCATTTTGTAAGCGAATGTGCAACACACGTTCGAAAATAGTTATAATTCGTGAGCCATTTAAAGAGACGTTGGGTGTCGTTGGGGGCAAGGTAACCTATATAACAAATTAATAATAGTTTAGCCTTCGTACAAAATCCACTTTAATTTGTATATTATTCTTTAAACCACAAGAAAACAAATGTCTGAAAGTTTCACAGTGTCACAGTTGTAGTATAATAACCATATGTGAAGTACAACTCTTAGTCAATGGTGTGCAGTATCTTGCTGCTAAAATTGGTGCCAAAAATAATGTCATCTGTGTAATCATCCAAATCATTTAAGGTACAGTTCGTTTAATTGGTTCCCTCTAAAACAGAGAGAGGCATGCTGATTGGTGCTTTGTTTAGCTGGAATACATATATGGTAATGAGCACAGAGGTGTAGTGAGTGGTCTGGGGTGGTATAGTTTGATGTCCGTTGTTGGTCTATGACTGTATGACTGTACATTTTTAAAAAGAATTTTACCAAGACAGTTTAAATAATAGAAGTCGGAAATAAAACAAGAAAGGATTAGTTTAAACTGTTCTGCCTTATTGTCTCAACAACACTTCCAAAGTGAATACTTTTCTTTGAAATGTGCCAAAAAAAAACACAAATCAAATTGGGGTTTTAGCATGCTAATTTTATAATGCATTTATTATTTAGTCCCCATTTACTTCTGTGTGTGCATCCATATTTCCAGTATTATCTCGCACATTTCGAAGTGGACCAATCAAGTTCAAATTAAGGCACAGCTTTCTGCCCTTCACTGTATGTTCACAGTAACACTAAAGTTACATTACATTCCATTTAAAAGCACTTGTTTTCACCAGTTATGTTATGAGTTATGTGACAACATTTAATAATGTGATTGCAAGCACAAAACAAAACAAAAAAATACGTACTCCAGAATTGGTTGAAAATGTACATAATTAACAGCCTTAATTAATACTTCTGTTAATTACACTTTTACTGCTATTTGCCATGTATTTAAACGCCACTGTTGTTGTGCAGCCAATATTCAAATTCTATGTAAACAAACTAATCTTCACACATTGTTTATATTGCGCGAAAATAACAGTCGCAATGCATTGATGTACAACTTATCTATTAATGTCAGTTATCGTCATTGTGGAATGAACATCTAAAATTTAACTTAATATGTCTTAGAAATTTTGTAAATAATGATACCATTAATATCTAATCTAAAAGCAACACTGTCATTGCTATGGGTCCCATGTGACATGTTTTTTGCCAAATTAGAATGCAAGCCGTGTGACTGCGACAGCTGTTAGAATTTGTCAATTTATAATAAGAACTGAGAAATTGTTGCTAAAAACATACACAGACTTATAATTCTTTTACCATGCAGGGTCACCATTTTCAACTGAACTACCAGCTACTGGAATATTAAAAAAAGATTGATTTACCTTAAAAAACAAATTTCACATTGCTAGCTTAGCCAGGCTAGAAACGAAACATTTTTTTTATATTGCCATCATTTCCAAACCCTTGACATGTACACTTTGGTTAAATTGTGTCAAAGGTTATTGATGTTGATGACCTGTTAAGATCAAAGTATTCAACAAACTATTTTGAAACTAAATGCAAGACACTGATCCAATATGATACGAAATCTTATCTTAAAAAAAAATATTGTTGGAATCCATGTAGTGGCTAATCATGTAACTGCTTCCTTGAACTGCAGGACAGTTTCTCTAACAAATGGTTTGATGGAGGTAAAAACAATTAGTCATAGTGCATCACAAACTTGTTCCAGCCAAAAAATTATGTGCAACATTTTGCATATTTCTATGTATTTTTTTTTTCTTCAAAATTTCTAAATCATCACATTTCAATGAAACTCAGTACATAGATGCTCTAGGACAATACACAGACCTGATTAGTTTTAGGTTGGAATCTGCATATTAATTACCTAATTTGCATAATCAGTCAAGTTTAGTCTTTTACACTAATATCTCAAGTACTAATCATCACATTTAATGAAACTTGGGACATAGATGTTCTAGGAAAATACACAGACATGATTAGTTTTAGGTTGGAATCTGCATATTAATTACCTAATTTGCATAATTAGTCAAGTTTAGTCTTTCCCGCTAATATCTCAAGTACTATTCATCACATTTCAATGAAACTTAGGACATAGATGCTCTAGGACAATACACAGACCTGATTAGTTTTAGGTTGGAATCTGTGCATAGTAATTACCAAATTTGCATAATTATTCAAGTTTAGTCTTTTCCACTGATATCTCAAGTACTAATTATCACATTTCAATGAAACTTAATGAATATTAATCACCTAATTTTCATAATTAGTCAAGTTTAGTCTTTCCCGCTAATATCTCAAGTACTAATCATCACATTTCAATGAAACTTAGGACATAGACGCTCTAGGACAATACACAGACCTGATTAGTTTTAGGTTGGAATCTGCATATTAATCACCTAATTTGCATAATTATTCAAGTTTAGTCTTTTCCGCTGATATCTCAAGTACTAATCATCACATTTCAATGAAACTTAGGACATAGATGCTCTAGGACAATACACATACCTGATTAGTTTTAGGTTGGAATCTGTGCATAGTAATCACCAAATTTGCATAATTATTCAAGTTTAGTCTTTTCCACTGATATCTCAAGTGCTAATCATCACATTTAATGAAACTTGGGACATAGATGCTCTAGGACAATACACAGACCTGATTAGTTTTAGGTTGGAATTTGCATATAAATTACCTAATTTGCATAATTAGTCAAGTTTAGTCTTTTCCACTAATATCTCAAGTACTAATCATCACATTTAATGAAATTTGGGACATAGATGCTCTAGGACAATACACAGACCTGATTAGTTTTAGGTTGGAATCTACATATTAATCACCAAATTTGCATAATTATTCAAGTTTAGTCTTTTCCGCTGATATCTCAAGTACTAATTATCACATTTCAATGAAACTTGGTACATAGATGCTCTGTGGTTAATCCACAGATGTAATTAGTTTAATGTTGAAAACCATGCATATTGATTACCTAATTATTATTAGCCCATTTCTGATATCTCAAAAAATCAGATTTAAATTGAACTTGTGGTAGAGGTGCTCTGGAATAAATTAGACTGAAAACCATAGAACATAAAATCATAATGTAAAATAATGTTGTTCACGTTGTACATCTCAAATAGCAGACAAATATTAGTTGCCAAGATTCTTGTTGAAGGCTAATTAATTTTTAATATGTCTCCAAATACTCTCAGTACACAGGAGTTTTTTCTAAGCTTTCTTGAAAGTTACTGCAACATCATTCAATCAGAAAGTGCATCATTTTGAAAAAAAATTTACGATCACATTGAAGTTTTATCTAAACTTTCTTTGATTTCCGATTCATTTTGGCAATCCACATAGGCTCTCAGCACGAGATTCAATTTGTCAAATTCATTCCAAAGACAATTAGGAAATATGAGAGAAGCATAATATCATGTAAAAGGTCTAAATGTATCCATCTTGGCACTTTGCATGACCCGTAAATATTATACATCTTAGGCATTGCGTTGTTACAGGACGCACTTTCTCAGTACAGACTTGTGTAATATTTTGGCTAAAATCGCCGTTTTACACTAGTGTTTATATGCAGAACTTGTAATTTTTTTAAATAATTTAAGTTATATTTTAACCACATATTTCAGTGAAATTTTGTTTAGTGAGCGAAATATTAATGTTATATTTAATTAAATCTTTGTAACTGCAAAAACTTGCACATAATAATGCTAATAAAATTGTGTTTAAAGTCGAACATTTCCTGCATAATTTCAAGCTTCAGCTAGCTTGAACATCTTTGAAAGCAAAAAAAACCCCATGTGTAGAACACATTCTGAAGAAACTAGCAGCATGAACTTGCTGAATACACTGCACCAGAACCAGTTTATTTCTACAGCGATTCTAAGTTTAATCTATCATTATTTAGTAAAGAAATAAATGAAATGATTATGTTGACTGACTTTGAAATGTTCCAAGTTTCGAACAAACTCCCGGCACTCCATATGTGATATGTGTCAGATTGGTGTTGAACAACATTTAAGTTATTAAATTAATAATTAGTTTCTATTTTTTTAAATTCTGTATTTATTTAATTTTGTTTTATTTCCTATAATTTTCTATAACTTTTTGATGACTTCAAACCAGATGAACCATAATATCTTGTCGACTTTTTTTTAGACTTTGAATTTGAATCTAGCATTGGGGGGGGGGGGGGGTGTCACATAGGGTAAAAAAAATTATTAATAATTTAACAATTTTCATAAAAAAACATTTATACCATCCTAAAATTCACTGTAGCACTTCAGAGTGGAATATTAATCACGTTTAAATAATTTTTAGCAAATATTTAACATTTTTGTGACATCAATACACAGATGAGATCAGGATTTCGTCTTTACTTTCTTTCAGAGATGATGAAAATATTGAAGAAATGGAGGATGATGCTGAAATTAATATGACAGAGATAGAAGAGAAAATCAGGATATCAATGCAAAGACCGTGGAAATTTAACAGCACTTTACTTACAAATGAAAGGTATGTTATGTTATTATCTTATCTCACATTATGGACGGTTCTCATTAATTTAGGATGGAGGTCTATTAAAGATGGTATGTACTGTAGAATACTTTATTTTCGCTTGGAATTTATTTTCGCTATTTTCGCTGAAGGGATGATTCCGTGAAAATAAAATCTAGCAAATATACATTTTTTCCTATATTTTACATTAATCTCATCAAAAATCAGTGAAAATAAATTTCAAGCAAAACGCCCAAAAAGCCTTTTCAGCGAAAATTAATTCCAGCGAAAATAAAGTATTCCACAGTACTATGACATTGCATTATATGATTATCATCAATGTAGTCCACCTGTACATTTATTTATGGATTATTTTTGTTTGTTGCCATGGCATTGACAGGTGATATGCAGTGATTTTTTTAAACAAGGGAACAGGGGCGCAGTACCCACATGCCAAGGCCATGCGCCCCCTTACAATGGGGAGCAGATCCTCTGGCAACCAAAAATTCTGATTGACTGACCAGGGTTCACATGTGACCACAGTCTTCAACTGTGACCTGTCTGATAGTGATTTTGGCTTCAAGGAAGCCATAGAATGCTCCATTTCAACTCAGAATTATCAAAAAATTTGCCAGCACCTTATCACAAATTATGTCAACAAATAAACTCTGCCGTGAATGGTTACTCTTTGATGGCTGTCATTATCTGCGTTCCTGCAATTTGATTGGTACCGACAACAAATCATCGAGGGAAGTGCAAAACTACTTTCTGTCAGGCGTTTGGGGTTTTGAGCACAGCAAAAGGCACAACTCACGTAACCTCGTCAGGCTAGTAGTCCATCACCATGGTTACTAAACTGATTATTAAAAGTGCCCAAAAATGTCAAAACCTCACAGACAATCTAGATAATATTATCTCGTCATATTGGTAAAAATGACAAGTTATAAACCATAAAAAGAATTGTTTAATAATTGTTGACTATTTCTCTCTTCTAAAAGATTCATAGTGACAAATAAAATTTACTTAATTAACCAGGCAGGGTCTGAATATATATATATATATATCGTAAACAGTACTGATGAAAAAGTATTAAAGCAGCTGTTGTCTGAATACTTGCCTGTCATTTCCACAATTGTATGTATAAGCTAACTTAACTATGAAGTGTATATATATAGTACTGTTGTTGGATTCAGATTACTGTAGGGAGAGAGAGAGACTTAAATCTCTATTAGCAGGTGTAAGTTACTGATATGACATTGAGACCGTCTCGTGATTAGAATTATAAAGTTATACAGCTCTGAAACACCTTGAATTTTAATACCTTATTTACTAGAGTACATTGCCCAACAGACACACGCCCTTACAAGCACATAACCAGAAATTACATTTAGGCCAGACTTTTTTTTATTCAGAGGGCGGGGAAAAATATAATTAATTCTTTTTTCCCATTAGATTTTTGTGATTCTCAAAGAATTGTAAGTGAGATCATTGATCGGAGAGAAGAAATGAAATAAAATTTTAAAAGTAAAAAGATTACATTTGTCTGATTGTTAATATCTATCTTTTATTTTTCTCTTGCTTTCTCTCATCCTTTTTTCACATTGCTGCTAATGACATGTAGTAATATACACCGTCTAGACATGTTATATTATCTGGAACCCATTACTTCTTATTGACCTAATGTATCCTTCCATTCAACTCTCAGCAAGGCATGACTGAATCTTTATCTTGTTTCTTTGTTAACTCTTTCATCGCTATTATTTTTTCACCATAATTTCATTGCAACAATTTGCAAATTTTAAATCTATTTTTCTACAATTTCTTTTTTAACTTTGGACGAATTGAACATAATTTTCTATTGGCTATTAAAGTTTTTGGTTTGTTATGTGACAGGTAAAAAATGTACCATCCTCGGACTGAATAGATTTTCATAGTTCCCACCCATCCCAAGTTTTCATGGTTTCTACTCGTTCAATGTTTTGATAATTCCCACCCATTCTATGTTTGTTTTTCTGTTCACATGCTTAGCCAATTCTTTATTCCAAACTTGGTTTGAATACCTAGAACATATCCATAGCTGTAGGATAAATTTCATTCAATTTGGGATGATATTATTGGCTACCAATTTCATCACTTTTGAAGAATAATGTTATCAATTTTCACAGGAGACAAATGCAGAGGTATTTTGATCCACATGGTGTGATAAGCCTCACCAAAAAAGACGTCAATATCGGGTCTACCATTCATTTCCACTATTCCCATGCCCGCTATATATTTGCTGTGCCCCGGACCATGTATAACATCCTGCCTGAACAGAAACACTTCCAGAGTCAACAGTTTGACACCTGCGCTGTTGTCGGCAACGGTGGGATTATGTTGCATAGCAACTGTGGTGATGAGATTGACAAGCACGACTTTATTATAAGATGTAACTTTCCAGAAGTTAGTGGTTTTGAGAAAGATGTCGGCCAGCGAACTGACTTACTGACCTTTAACCCAAGCATTCTGGACAAGAAGTATGAACGTTTATTTACGGTCACAACGAGAATGAAGTTTCAGTCAGATTTACAGCGATTTGGACGCGTCATTTTATGGGTGCCAGCATTTGCTCATCATCATTCAATTCCAACATTCAGAATATTGTTGGACTACTTAGATGAGGTGTGGGAACTTAATAAAAATTTACAAGTTGCTATTCCCGGTGAATTCCTAGATGGCATGTTCAGGTGAGATTACTCTTGTACAGTGAATAAAATGCCCTTTGAGCACAAAGTTCTTTGTCACAATTCATAAAATAAACCCACATCACGTTCGAACAAGGTCTGAAATTGGGGACTTATGGACCTGTATCTCAGACTGCCCTGGACCAATTCTCTTCAAATTTTACACCTAGGTAGTACCTAATATCTAGAACATGTCCACATGCATTGATTTTTTTATCTGATCAGGGATGGCCGATTGCCAGCCATTTTCGATGTGTAAGAGATTTATCACCACTCTACAGATCTAATATCTACTATCACATTAACCACACCGACTTCTATTGATACATTTAAATAGGTCATT